TGGTGGCATTGGGACAACTTAGTGCGTAAAACTGTGGCCGAAGCATTGCACTGCTACGTGGAACTACGTGCCAGTGGGCTTTCAGATTGCCCATTGATATTACGGGGAGCATATTTTGAAACACAGGACGCTAGAAGCATAGCTTTATAAAACGATGCCTAATTGGTCAATTCGTAATCGTGCAGTGTTGGTTCTACGCCGGCGCCTCACGAGCAAGGTTTGTTTAGACCAAAACACTTAACCAAACTTCTTATCGATTTGCAAATCTTATGCCGATTTGGCGCGTTTTATGTGTGTTCAGTGTTNTCTCTCGCTACTGTACGTGTTTACAGCATATATTATAATACAGGAAAGACTAAAACTATACAGTTACTTGGAGCAGTTAGGAAAAAGGGTAATATATTATGATATGGACTCGATCATCTTTTACGTTAACGTCCATGCAAGTATTTAACAGAAGAAGAGCCGGTGAGTTAAAGTGTATTATTGATTCATAAATCAATGAATTTCAGTCATATCAGTCAATTTGTCATAATGATTATGATTTGTACAATTCTCTTTCCACGAGGACAAGCAGCCAAAAAATATGTAAGATTTTAAATTAGGGAAAAATGTATAATCGTTTCCATTCTGTGATGGTTTTGCCTCTGGCGAAAATGAGCTATTTTATGAGCCGACATCATGCAAGTGGAAACAGTTTTGGACTGACCAACAAATTAGAGGCGTGGTTTTTTCTTAATATAACTTAATATTTATGAGGATTTGCTAACCGTTGAAGGAGAACGATGTTCCGATTTTAAGACGGCTTGATTCAGAAGAGGACTACTGGTCTATCCTTAGAAGTATCATGGTCGCATGGCAGAGGCGGCTGTAAACATCATCTCTACAGATTGAGACATTTATTTGCATTTATATGTTCATTGGCCGCCAATGGAGAACATATATTGAATTTGTGGAAATAACTTAAAATGGAAATGATAAGAGGATTCCTTAAAAAAGGGTTATCGCCGCATAGATGCTGCCAGGGCGGCGATACAACAAATTAGTGCCGTAATTCTAAGGAATTAGAATGTAGACGACGTGACACGATTGGGTATTGTGGTATACGATGACCATGTCGATGACGAATATTTTTCGATTACTTGAATGGGGTTCTGAACGTATACAGGAGTTTTTGATGTTGACTCTAACGGAGGAATAACGTCGTTTTGAAGTTATCATGAGGCGAATTACCTTTAAAACAGACGCCGATGGTGGAAATATGTTTTATGTCGATTATCCTGGTGGCATTGGGAAAACTTAGTGCGTAAGACTGTGGCCGTAGCATTGCACTGCTACGTGGAACTACGTGCCAGTGGGCTTTCAGATTGCCCATTAACATTACGGGAACGACTACTGCTGGGCGGGCCATCGAAGATATTAGAAGCCGGCCCTCATAGTTCGAGACGAAGTTCCCATGATCCCTAAAGAAGCGTTAGAAGCGGAGAAAAAGTTGTAGTTTTCGGTGATGAATTATTACGCTGATTATACAAATAGAACAAAGAGGATATCAGCTATTAAACTGTTGAAAAATGCATTAGAATAAAGCAAGTTAATAGAAAATATCACAGAGGAAGAAGTAAATAAAAAAATCATGGCTTGATATTTCAATATTTTAAGGTAAATCAACTGTCTCACTTTTCCTTTTTTTAATATGGCTATTATATTTGTTTTAGGATCTCCCAAAACTTAAAACAAGTTATACAAGTACAAGTTATGGAAGTGGTACAGATGACATATATATATTTACCTAAATTATGGAGTCATTATATTTTTTGAAGGGCTCTGCTCCTGTAACGGAGTCGACATATAATTTAGATGAAGATAACCCTCGAGAAGACCAAGAAACCTTTTACAATACAATTGAATGATGAAACTGATTCATCAGCTAGCCTCTATCAACATCTCGGCCAAGAAAACGTCGTTGTATCCACGAATAATAATATTCCTAATGGTGTATTTTAATTATACTGACCAACTTACTAAACTAATTTAACTAAACTTTAATTATGAATTTATGAATTAAATAATTTTTAAAAATACATATTTTAATTGGGTTTTAGTTGCATCTTTATTTACTCATAAAAATTATTAGGTTAGGGACAAAATCACAGATTAGAAATGAAAAAATAATTTACTATAAAATTTTAATTTCAATGTTTCTTAAGATTGATGAAATTTCCGACTTGGATAATCCCGAACTAATTTTCATTTGCCAAATTTGCTTTTTTTGACATCACAGGAGGCTTAGCATTTGTAGAAAGCGCATACTCTATAAAACAAAATACTTAAATTAAAAGTTTATATTCAAAGTCGAGTAATGTGCTATTTCCTGTACTCTCAAAAAGTTTTTCAAAAACATGTTTAAACAAGTTATTAATAAATTTCAAATAGAACAAGTAGACATTTTATCGAAAAAGCTGAACGATGAAACCGATGAAGAAGATAATGTGGAGGCTCAAAAAAAATAATAGCTGGGGCGAGCAAGAGATTAGTGACTCTGACGAAGATGACGCTATTTTTAGCACCAATGTATACCATATTGGTAAACTTATTTATTTATAGTAAATATGTGGTGAGATTTGTTTTTTTTTAGGAAAAGATAAAATCACGCACTCGAAAAAGCACCCACCTGAAATAAAATCAGTTAGAACAAGAAAAGAAAATATTATCAAAGGGCTATTTAAACTAACACATTTTACTAAGAGACTGAAAAACATTACTCAAATATGGAGCCACTTTATGAATGATAATATGATCAACAAAATTGTATATTACACAAACCTTTACATATAGTCGGTAGAAGGAAATTTTTAGAATTACTACCTCCAATTTCGGTAGAATATGTAAAGCTAGGAATCACAACAGTAAATTAAACATCGCTAAAAGACATTTACGACAAAAAGATATATCTAGACTTCCACCTATCAAACATGGAATAAATAAAAATAAAATGTAATTTTCTAAAGTCTGGCTCAGTTATCCATAAAGCTTTACCTTTCTTGGCTGGTTCTCCGGATGGTCTTATAAACGAAGATGGAATTTTGGAAATAAACTGCCCATACAAAGGAGAACCAGACTATATTTACTCTAATGGACTATTGCAAGTGACACATACCTATTTCTATCAAATTCAGGGTCTTCTTGAGGTCACTAATAGACCGTGGTGCGATTTGGCTATTTACGATTACGGTGATTTACATATACAAAAAATAAATAGGTATAGGCCTTTCTGGAAGGGCATCGTAGAAAAAGTAAAGCCCTTTTATTATTACTACTATTTGCCAACTCTACTAATGCCTGGAACATTTTATTGAAAGGCTGCCAAACGGTTTAATAAGTGATATTACTTATTACAAAAATATTCCCAACGGAAGAGATTACACAGTGACAGTTTTCGACAACTATAGTTGCCACGTTAAGGTGCTTCGTTATAGCGATTTCTATTTACTAACAGGAAAAAATTGGTTCGCAGGTTTTNTCAGGTACCTACTTTATAAAGTGTATGATTGGCTTTGTTTAATATTAGTACATATAAAACAATTTTGTTACACATGCCTTGTGTATCAAAAGAGTTAATAGTTAAATTTTCGGTGAATATTCTATAAAAATTGTAATAATTTGATACCATAATTTGAGCAATTGCTTAAAAAATCATAATGATAGAATGACTACATGGACATATATTCTTATATTAGGTTTGGGCTATTTCTGCAATAAAGTAACATTGTACAGGTATCATTTTGTCTGGTTGTGGTTAATAGAAATATTCATATTTAGTATGTTAGGTAATGGAAATTAAATTGTAGGAACCATCATGTTTTATGACAGATGACTCTAAAGCTGAAAAAGCTGCATTGGCAAATGCTTATCCACAATCAAGACAACTTCTCTGTTTTTTCCATGTTTTGCAAAAGGAATGGAGGTGGTTATGTGAAAAGAAAAATGGAATTCCATTAGAGAGGCGACAGTTTTTGATGAACTTGTTTCGTAAGGTGAGATTAGTTCTGTAGTTAATTTGGGGGTAGTGTAAATCTACAAGAGGTATATGTTTAAGTTTACAGTAGAATTACATTTATAAAACAATTTACAGCAGATGTATATGAGTACTTTAATGAACATACAATTTTACATACATTAGATGATATATGTATTTTTCTTTCATTTATAGGTTATGTATAGCGAAACAGAAGATGAATTGAATATGATGATACTGAACTTCAAACAGTCATCTCAAGATTTCCCTAATTTTATTAATCGTTTTGAAAAATTTTATTTGAGATCACACGAATGGTTATACGTTCACCGTAAAAACATTATCATTAGGGGTAATAACACCAACAATTATGCCGAAGCATCTATAAGAATATTAAAGGATATAATTCTCCACCGAACAAAAGGATACAATTGTGTGGCTTTAGTAGATTTTATTTGTTTTGTCTGGGAAGAATATTTCAAAATTAAATTGTTGGATTATGCACATGACAGGAGGAATAGTATTCGAAATAACTATTTAAAATTATGTTCAAGAATGGTATCTGTAAATCCAAGCGATTTGTGTGATTTGGGAAATAATTTGTATAAAATAAGTAGCACCAAAGACTCCTCGGTGCACTATACTATTGATGTAGAAGTAGGACTATGTAGTTGCCCTTCTGGCATAAATGGAGCTTTTTGCAAGCATCAGGCTTATCTACATAAGCAGTTGAATATACCTTTTGTAAATGCTCCTGCAGTTACTTGTGAGGAACGTAAATCTTTGGGAAAATTAGCATTAGGTCTCGAATGTCCTAGCGATGATTGGTTTATGGATTTAACTCATACGACTCATTCCTGTAATTCAGTTTCAAGTAGCCAAACGTTAGAATCGGATCATGTTAATCCGCAAGCAGCATATACGGAAGTAATTCTTAGCAACTCGCCTGATGAAGAAAAGCGAAACAAGGATGATGCCATTTTACAGCTGTCATTGGAATTAGATAGAGTTAAAGCACTTGCCAGTGAAGTACCTAGTACTTTGATACAGAAGTTTACCAAGAAACTACAGAAAATGAAAAATTTCCAACAGTTATACTCAGCACTTAACGTTCCAACCAAAACTTCGATTAGGAAACAGTCAAAAATTAAAGTTCAGCCTACAGCTATATCCAGAAGAAGGCCAGGAGTAACTCGTGGTAGTACTAGGATACCATCAGGAAGACCATTCAGTGGCGTGAAGAATAAAGTAAAAAGGAAGCATAATATAAAATTGAATATCTTGGCAAATCAATCGAATGCTGTACTTCATGGTCGTGCTCATTAGTATAAATAAAAACTTTGACCTAAACAAGTTCTAAATAAATATGGAAACAGTTCATGGAGCACGTGATTAGTAAAAAATAAATGGATATATCAAAGAAGTTCATAAAAAGTAAGTGGCAAATGGACATTACTACTTAGATGTTACTAATTTTTTTTTTTTATATGTATTACACCATCGATGGCCAAACTTAAAACTCCAATCCTGTTCTATTAAATGCACGGTGGTTGCAAAGAATTCAGACTACTACCCCAAGATACAAACCTTTTTCATATCGAAAAAATGTAGAACACAGAAAAGACATCAAAAATAAATAGTCTTGACAATGGCACATAATATTTTGTCCAAGCATGGTAAAACCTAATTTTAATTTGAATAAAGAAGAAACTATGAGGCAGAACATTTGGAAAAAAGTACTATGTATATATATTATGTATTATTTCTACATTATTAGGCAAATAAATGTCAAATGAAATTTAAAAAAAATGAGAATATTGTACATAATCTAGTAACATCTTTTCATTTAGCTTTTTAGCACTCCAGAAGACAGTAGCAGAGGGACTACCGAAACGTCAGCGAGTTCAGGCCCATTTCCATAAGATAAATAAGCGAAAAAAATTTTGAAGATATGTATGAATATAGAGTGCAATATAGAATGGGAATAGAATTATTATTGTACCTATATTTAGTATATGTATTTGTTACTGTATACAGTCTGTGTCACGATAGAAAATTTATTTTGATATTCGACAGCAAGAACGGGGTTGATTACTTAAAAAACTTTTATCACGAAATATTAAATTTGAAATTTGTTATTTATGTCATAATGTCACATTATTTATCATTGTGAATTTATTTTTGAGAAGAATAGAGGTATTTTGAGTTTGCATTACTTTTTTGGACATTTTAAAAGTTTCANTCAGGTACCTACTTTATAAAGTGTATGATTGGCTTTGTTTAATATTAGTACATATAAAACAATTTTGTTACACATGCCTTGTGTATCAAAAGAGTTAATAGTTAAATTTTCGGTGAATATTCTATAAAAATTGTAATAATTTGATACCATAATTTGAGCAATTGCTTAAAAAATCATAATGATAGAATGACTACATGGACATATATTCTTATATTAGGTTTGGGCTATTTCTGCAATAAAGTAACATTGTACAGGTATCATTTTGTCTGGTTGTGGTTAATAGAAATATTCATATTTAGTATGTTAGGTAATGGAAATTAAATTGTAGGAACCATCATGTTTTATGACAGATGACTCTAAAGCTGAAAAAGCTGCATTGGCAAATGCTTATCCACAATCAAGACAACTTCTCTGTTTTTTCCATGTTTTGCAAAAGGAATGGAGGTGGTTATGTGAAAAGAAAAATGGAATTCCATTAGAGAGGCGACAGTTTTTGATGAACTTGTTTCGTAAGGTGAGATTAGTTCTGTAGTTAATTTGGGGGTAGTGTAAATCTACAAGAGGTATATGTTTAAGTTTACAGTAGAATTACATTTATAAAACAATTTACAGCAGATGTATATGAGTACTTTAATGAACATACAATTTTACATACATTAGATGATATATGTATTTTTCTTTCATTTATAGGTTATGTATAGCGAAACAGAAGATGAATTGAATATGATGATACTGAACTTCAAACAGTCATCTCAAGATTTCCCTAATTTTATTAATCGTTTTGAAAAATTTTATTTGAGATCACACGAATGGTTATACGTTCACCGTAAAAACATTATCATTAGGGGTAATAACACCAACAATTATGCCGAAGCATCTATAAGAATATTAAAGGATATAATTCTCCACCGAACAAAAGGATACAATTGTGTGGCTTTAGTAGATTTTATTTGTTTTGTCTGGGAAGAATATTTCAAAATTAAATTGTTGGATTATGCACATGACAGGAGGAATAGTATTAGAAATAACTATTTAAAGTTATGTTCAAGAATGGTATCTGTAAATCCAAGCGATTTGTGTGATTTGGGAAATAATTTGTATAAAATAAGTAGCACCAAAGACTCCTCGGTGCACTATACTATTGATGTAGAAGTAGGACTATGTAGTTGCCCTTCTGGCATAAATGGAGCTTTTTGCAAGCATCAGGCTTATCTACATAAGCAGTTGAATATACCTTTTGTAAATGCTCCTGCAGTTACTTGTGAGGAACGTAAATCTTTGGGAAAATTAGCATTAGGTCTCGAATGTCCTAGCGATGATTGGTTTATGGATTTAACTCATACGACTCATTCCTGTAATTCAGTTTCAAGTAGCCAAACGTTAGAATCGGANAAATGGATATAGGTAGTATGTTATATTTAACATATAGACATATGCCATCGCGGACTTTTCTGTAGGCATATATAAGATACACAATTCCACCATACATTGATACACTACATAAACTTTCGGACCGCCCGGCTCGGACGCGAGGCGCGGGGTCACGGGGCGGCCCGGTCGAATCACGGCGACACGAAATTAATTTCGTTGCGCATTATTTTGATTTTGCTATATCTCCTATGGTATTCATTTAATTTGCATGGTGTGAAGGGAAAAATAATCTTCATGAAATGCTCAAGCCAACTAACGTATTTAAAATGATAGGAATTAATAATTTAATTAATAAATAATATTTGTGTAAATAGCTTTCCAATTACCGCTTTATAATTGCCCATTTTTTAAAGTATTAAAATGGATATAGTATGTTATCCTTAAGAGATAGACATATGCCATCGCTGACTTTTCTGTAGACCTATACAGGGTAATTAATTAACAATGGGAAAATCGAAAGCTGAATATATTACACGTGAAATGGTGACCATTAGCGCAAACATGCCTTATCCGAATGTTGATAGTTTCGGAAATACAGGGTGTTGAAAGTAAAAATTTTAAATCGTTTTTTGCGATTATTCTGAAAATATGCTGGTTAGGAATTTTTTTAAGCGACAAATAAGATGCGTGCTGCAATTTCAGCGTTGCTCATAGAGGGCGCCACAGACGACTAATTTTACCAAAAATTTAGTTAATAACTTTTTACCCTGTGTGTCTAACAGTGTCTGATAGCTTTACACAACGTTTTCTGAGAGATCTTCGAGTTTGAAACAACATATTGGGACTGCGTCTGACTTTGTTGGCAGTTGTTTGTATTCTTTGCCACAACCCTTCATGCGAACGAATAGAATCTTTGTAAACTATATCTTTCATTCGAGGCCAAAAAGAAAAATCAAGAGGATTGAAGTCCGGATTTCTGGGTGGCAGCATTGATTTCAAACATATACATTTTTCCTAAACCCCATGTACATTGTTATAAACAATAAATTATCCACAACAGATGATTTTTTGTAATGTTTTTAAAAAACTAGATTAATTAAAAAAGACTAGGAAGCTGTGATATATTTATTGGAATAAAATATACAGTTGATATATCCTTTTAATATATTTAATGGTTTATAAAAACATTGTAATCATTACCCACCAATATTTAGGGTTTTCTTTACTTGATTAATATAATTAGTAATACTTGAAATAAAAGCATTTGTACGGAATAACAAAGGAACATACATATTTCTCAGAAAACTTTATATCTAAAAAATTAGCTATAGTTGCAAAACTTTTGTAACATTACTAAAATAGAGATTAAAAACACGAACAGTGAGTAATAATGTAATTTCTATCACAGA